TTTTTTTTTTTTTTTTGTTTTCCGTACAATACAAATTACAAGTTTCATTGTCTATTGTTAATTGGCACTAAGCATTTTCCTGGGGGCTTCTTTTTTTCCCTTGTTTTCCTCTTTTTGAACTCGAAGTTTTAATTATTTTTTTTTTTCAGCGCTTTATTAATTGATTTTTTTTCATATCCCTCCGACTCAAACTGATGTTCAACTATCAACTAATGCATGTCTTTCTTGTGTTGGCAAGGAAAAAAACCACTGGCAACTGAAGAGTTCCTAGCATGTGCGGTAGTAGAACATGCATAATGAATAATCGAGAACTCTTAGCACCGTTGCTGAACAAATTTGTGTCATGGTTTCTTTCTTTCAAACATCTTCACAATAAACCAACAAAATTTTTATTCAACGCAACAAAAACAAAAACAAACACACTGTGCACTGTGAGCTGGCATAATCTACGGAAGCCTGTAGTGTAAGGAAATATTCCTACGAGCTCTTATGCCCCCTTATTTCTCTCCTGGATCGGTGCCAAAGCTCATCCGGAAATTAAACTTCCTCAGAGTCATCCTCTTTTAATCCTAGCTTCACAGGTTCTACCGCTATCCGTCTTCTTTCCTGGATGGCACGGATTCAATTACGGGATTAGTAGCACAGTTCCTCAGTTATCCTTTTTACTGTTGTTAGTACTACAACACCCTACTTTGCTTGCTTTGGACAAAGGCCGGCCACTGAAGCCTCTTATCCGCACTAGAATTCGCAAAACAGCACCTTACTTAGGCTTCACCTCCTGAATAGATCTCTTACAAATACCAAACTCTGCCCAAAATCCTTGGAAATGTAATTGTACTCAACCGTAAAACTCAAAAATGTTTGCTAAAGCCAACTGCGAACTCCTCACTCGCACTATTCAAACACTACATTAGACAAGGCTGTGATTCTGACCAACTTTATACCGCTACTGATCTAACTGTTCACAGTTTTTTCCATCTACCAAGAACGGTTTCAAAAGTGCGGAATGCATAAAATGAAATGTGGTGGTACACGAGATTAACAGAATTTTTTTTCTTTGAAATTATTAACATTAAACATTACCGCAGTATTTGGCTACTGCCCAAGTTACACAGTGCAGCGAATCATATCATTAACCTACAAAAAAGTGGGCGAAGAGACGGATGTTTGGGGAAAGCGTACCTTAACTGTAAAAACTAATAAAGCCATGTAATTAAAGTTCTTCGTAAATGTAATGGCACTCTTCGGATGTAAAAATAAGTGCCTAAGACTAGCTAAACTGTATCCCTGCCCCCAAAACGCGCTGAGTAAGTTGCGTCAAAAAAAAATGTCAACAGGTTTCGGCCACAGTACTGTGACGAAAAAAAAAAATGTAAGAGGTAAACAGAAAACCACGGGTATTTCAGCGTCGCAATCAGTCCCTTGAAACCTCAGCTGTTTTCTCATGCATTATTATGGCTGGCATTACCTGCTCCATCCTTTATCCGCTTTAAAGCTATTGTGTATGTGAGAAAACCACTTCTTTCAAAACAGCAAATAAGATAATCTGAATTAACATTCCCGTATGTTGTTAATAATGGCTACAGGAATTCCATTTCGCTGCCGTTCAGTGCATTACCGGAGCAATATAATCGCCGTTTCCAAACACACTTGAAAAAGCTTTATATACTGCCTCAATAATCTCTCTCTGATTTTCGTACGCCTCGAACGAAACAAAAGCAGTAACAGTGAAGTTCCCAGCCAGATAACGCGGGTTGTCTTTCAGCTGAAATTTAAGTAACCCCATGTTAAAAAACTACTTGAAGTTCTCCTCCTTCGGCTTATTGCTCTGTTTAAATATGACTTCGAAAATGGTAATAAAGCATATAAAAAGGATCCATTATTGCTTTCACTAGTGTTTGCTACTCAATACTAAATAAAGCAATCCACCTTGCCCCGAGAGCACATCAAGATAATGTTGCTGAGACTGACACACAAAATATTAGCCCACAAAAAAATATCTAACCCATTGATCTCTAGCGCGATAAGGTTTCGGGACAAAGCTCTTCTGATCGTACATGTAAACTTCACTCAGTGGGCTCTTGCTGATACCCATACCGCAATGCAACCATCTACTCTGAAATAAGGAACTGAAATTCCTCTTAGATCTTCGAAGAATCTTCCTGTAGAATTTTCATAAGAATATAAGAAGTCTAGATTAAATGAGTACAACTTAATAACACTCGAAATTTCACTGGCACGGATTACTTCCAAAAAGTAAAAAGTGAAAGATAGTAATAGACGACAAACGACATCATATAAGTTACGCT